CCTCTGGTTGGAATTAAATCTTTAATAATACTTTTGAGCCTTTTTATTTTTGTTTTAACTTTAAATTTAGCTCCCTTTTGGCTATAGATTTTGGCTTTATTTAAAAAAATAAAAATAAATTGAAACATTGTTTGTTTATGGAAATTTTGAGAAAAAACGTAATTATGTTTAAAATTTTCGAAACTAAAAATCTTCAAAAACCGGAGATTTTAAATATTCCAAAATTTGAGTTTGGAAGTTCAAACAAACAATAGTAGTTTGCAAAACTCAAAAACTGGAAACAACTTTTTATTGTGCTATTTAGGAAACTCTCTTATGTGATTATAGGCACGTAGAATTTATTGGATTCAAATTAATTAAATAAAACTTGGATTATATTTTAAATATACTAGTCCAAATAAATATTTTGGGCTAATATAGTCCATATATATATATGGATTAAATAAATAAGTCTTAATCCATGGGCTAGCCCAGTGAATTGAGCTAAAATGATGAGCCAGCTTCAGTAAGCCCAAGATGTCATCTTCCTAGAGGCCCAGTTTGATGCCACATGTCAAATGACATGGCACGCCAAATCACACAGAAGAGCCAGTGGGATCATGCCACGTGTCAAAATGACAAGGCATGCCAAGTCAAATTAAAGGGCCAATGAAATCGCGCCACATGTGCAAGTGAGATGTTCTGGCCAATCAAATGCGGCCTTGTCACACTTCAATTTGATTGGTCGAAAAGAGTTTGTTCTTTTTATAACTCTTCCCTCCCACAACTATAAATAGGGGTCTTCATAACCCAGAAAAGACACCAGAAGTTATAACAAGAAGCAAAAAGGAGCTCGTGGATCAAACACTGCAAATTCCTTTACTAGTTTCAAGCTTAAAGCAATCAAGTTCAAGCTCAAGAACGAAGAACAAATCGAGATTCAAGGAGTACGAGTTCAGTTCAAATCATTCGCGGCAACAAATATAGATGCAAGATCAAGCTCAAAGGCCTTTGAATTTATTTACTATTGGAAAGAATAATTAGAGGATTCATGGAGATGTATACTCATATTATTTGAAATCAAATACTACAACTGTTGTAATATTTTCGGTCTCGGTTATTTTTCTTGATGCAAATTTATTGTCTAAAAGTTCTGGCACGCCCAATGGGACAATCTCTACCTCTTATCTCAACTTTTCAATCACCAAAGTTCAAGAACATCGAAATGGCTTCAAAGAAAATCAACTCCAGATCAACTTCCATCAAGGCTACTAATTCCAGGTTCAATGCTGATGTGGAAAGCATCCTCGATGTTACCTTTGGAAGCTTTGGACTAGTTACGAGGAGAAAAGAACGCTCATTAGGACAACAAGCCCCCAAGTGTCGTAC